TTCCTCCTGGAGACGTGGCAGCAGATTAGCCCAGAGCCCCTCTGCGCAGACAAAAGCTGCCACAAAGGGCATTAGGCTTCGGGATTGGATTACCGTGTGGCCACCTGTCAGCCCCACTTTGTAAGTTTATCTCGCTCTGGGTCCCATTTTCATGCTGGAGAAGTTTGTACTTAAAAAAAAATAAATAAATAATCCACCCCACCCCACCCATGCAGCCTGGCAGTTTGTTTTAGCATCCCTCCTTATTCCAGGCTTCAGAGCTGCGTGGGGCTGGGGATTAGGGCTGTTTGAATAAAGAGAGCCTTTATTACATTAGTCTAAGTGGTTAATAGGTAAAGTAGGCCAATCCATCTTTAGACTAAGCCTATCACTTCGCCTACGAAGGGTGCGGGCTTCGCTGAGGAAATATTCATTAAAGGAAAAGCTTTTCCTCTGTCCCTCTTGACATGTTAATAGCTCAGGGTTAGGGGCTCTGCTCTCTGCCGGCAGAAAATTCATGGCTGGCCCACCCAGCAGCTCCCTCCTCTCAGTGGGACCCCCGGCACAGCTGACAGCTCTGCCGAAGTCAGCAGAGCAGCTCTGGGACCCACCAGGGCTGGGCTGGGCTTGGCTGGGAGTGAGGGACACCCGGAGCCTGCTGATGCTTTTCATCCTGGCTTTCCTTTTCCACGCTCAGCAAGCAGGTGCCTGGTCCCTTCCCCAGCAGGGCTGTGGGGAGAGGGTTGGGGTGACAGGTAGAGGCAATGCTTCAGTGCTGGGACTCTCTGCTGTGGGATGTTCTCAAGGCCAGAAGTATTTGTGGGTTTGAAAGGATTAGACAGTTCGTCGTCGCTGTGAAATGGGTGATTTGGATGCAGATGCTGGCTCCAGAGGCCTTTGAACTCCAGGTTGCCAGAAGGCAGGAGGATAACAAGGCAGGAGCGACTGCCTGCCAGGCTCCTCATGCTATCTTTATTTCCCACTACCGCACTCGCTAGAGCCCTCGGTGGCGGCTCCAGACAGCCCCATCCTGACTGGCACAGCAGCTTTTGTCCCAGGACTCAGCTGAGCTCCCCTTTCCCACAGCCTGGCTCCCTTTGCCATCTCCCCTTCCCCTCCCAGATGGATAACAGTGGTCTCTGCTCCTCTGCCCTTCTCACCCCAGGTCTCTAACCTGCCTGGGAAGCTTCCATGGAAACAGAGCTGTCATGAGCTGCCTCAGGGCTTCAACTGCACACACCACGGAGCTGAGTGTGGGGTCCTGCTCTTACTTCTGCCCAGAGGGGCTGCAGCCTGCCAGGGCATGGTGCCTACAGCTCTGCTGACCATCACAGCTTCTCTTTCCCCTCCTCCTTCAATGGCTGTTCAGCGCAGCCCTCGCAGTCATGGAGCCCCAGCAGAGCTGGGGTCTGGTCCTGCTTCCCCCAACACCTATGTCTGCCGTGTTGTCTGGGAGCTGCAGTGCTCTACGTGGGCCAAGCTGCCCTTCTCCCGTTGGGATCTGAGTGGGAATAAACTCTTCTTGGTGCCTTCTCCACCTGTGTCAGTTCAAACCAGCCACCTGACCAGTTCCTCCTGTCCCTGGGGCTCTGTTGTCTCTGACTGTCAGCATGATGATTGATGCCTCTGTGGGACAGTATGGAAACCATGGGAAAGCTCATCACAACAGACAGACCTGTGCAATAACTCTTTGTTTTCCTGCATGTGATGCTGTCAGAGGTTCCAACCACATCCACGGGCCACAATATTTGGCTTCACTTGCTGCTTTCTGGCTTTTATGCAGCAACTTTTCAAACAAGGCAGTGTCCACAAACAAGCTCAAGGGTCTTATTTCTGGGCTATGCCCAGCACCCCTTGGTACAACAAAGGAAAGGAGTGCAGGAGCTAGAGCAGAAGGCTGGGTTTTAGTGGATTCAGGTCTCGGGTTTGGGTTAACGGCTCCGTTTCTATCTCTGCTCATCTTAGCCTGAGCTGACCAAGCCAGACAGCAGCAGCAATGATGTGCCTTGTCTTGCTTCTGTTGCTGTGATGTTTCTCCAGTGAGATGTTCAGCAAACACCAAAGATTTAGGTCCTCTCTAGAAGTAAAAACGCTGTGAGGTTTAGACCTGCACAGAACAGAGTGCTCTCAGCTCTGTTGGGAACAAGACGTGGTGGATGTCCTCAGCCAAAAATCAGGAGTGTGGGTTCAGGTGCTGGCTGGTCTGCAAAGGGACTGACACCGGGCTGGTGGATGCCTCTTGGATGAAGAGCTGTTTCTTGCTGCCTTCCACTTCTGCAGTGCACTCCTCTGTGGTTGCTGAAACACTAATTAAGAGTCGGTGTTTCCCAATCAGATCAACTGACTCAGCACCTCCAACTCCAGCAATTTCCTCCTGTTTCATGGCTCAGCCCTACCCAATGGCCGTCTTGTGCAAGGAAGGGAAAACAAGCCTGGTGTCACTCCCAGCAGCACGAGAAACAGTGACTGAAGTAGCCCTGGAGGAGGAGCTGGTCTCAAGGTGCAGGGCCCCATACAACATGCAATGTGATGGACCTGACCTGAAGCTAAAGGGCTTCAGTACAGCATGGCTGTCTGACCACATTTTGGGAAGCAGTCTCCTCTCTAGGCAGGTCCCAGGCCATTAAGGACCTCATGGGTTGAAACCACCCTCTTAAATCAAGCTGGAAAGTGGTCAGTGGCCAGCGCAGGAGGTGGAACTCGGATTTAATGTGGCCATAAAAAGAGACACCACTTAATGAGTAGACTGTCAAAACCCACATCAGTCCATGACAGATTTAAGAGTCACTCTCTGAGCATTATTGACTGGCTCTGTTCTGTGACGGTGTTACGGGTTTGTGGAGTTGGCCAGAAAGGTGAGGGATTAGTCAGTTTTATTTTGGTTACTGGCTTTTGGCACACACTGGCTCCTGAGTTCCCGAAGCTCTCGTGTCCCTGGTGTCCCAGTGTGATTTTTATCTGCCTATGAAACTCCACTTGCATGGCCTGGAAACCTCAGCCCTGAGGGGTTGTCACCACTCTTGGGCATGGCTGGAGGCTTCCACAAGATGACAGCCCCTTCCTCCACAGTCTGGCTTGCTCATCACCTCTTCTCCCAGTGACCTGTGCAGATCTGGTGTTGGGGACCATCTCCCACCATGGGCCTCTGGAGAAGGTGCTTTGGGGGCAGCTCCTGAGCACACCTCACCTGTCCCTTGCCAGTAAACACGTTGCATAAAGTTCATGCCAGAAGCTGATGAAATATAATACCAGGTACCATGTGAACTAACCAGTAGTTGCATAAGTAGCTACTGACCAACTTTCGTAGGCGTGTGCTGAATTTTGGTTCAATCCGACCTCACATTCCTGGTTTTCCTATTATTTGGCCTCAGAACAGTGGGGTCAGGGTTTTTTTTTTTTTTTGCTTTGGCTTCTTAATAATTTGCTTTAGCACAAATTATCAATGGCTTTTTTTCCTCACAAGAGCCCACGGTGTTGTTTGGTGTCGAGGTGTAAGAGCAGTAAGGGAGGAGATGACCAGCAGGGATGGAGCAGCCTCTGTGTGCAGCATCGTGTGTCAGAGGAGGCTCACAGATCACTCACTGGCTGCTTATTTCTCTGTGCTGGGTGGATGCTTTGAAAACTTAATCAAGTTTTATAGCTTTAATTTTGTGGCTGACTCCCTTCTTGCCTTTTAACTGTCTCACAAGCCAGAGCAAATGAGTCCCGTTGGGTTGTGAAGAATTGGTAAATGGTCTAAAATATTTAGGCTTGCCTAGGGAACAATCGGAAAAAAATTTCTCTTTGTGTTGTTTCCATCATTCCTGCAAGCTCTCTAGTTTCCCCCCATGTGGTTAATTAGAAATAGCCAGAGGATAAGGTGGAGTTGCTGAAGGCTTTAGGTTTCAAGGGTACTTTGTGAGGGTACGTCCTACCTGTGAGCCAAGGTTGTCATCTCTGTGGTTGTATCCTGACCTGGGTGGCAGTGGAGGGGAGAGGTTGTCCTCACTGGACGCTGGACTGGGATGTGCTGAACATGCCACTGGCAGCTCTTGCTGCTCCTTCCAGTGCATCTTGGAACAGGTCTGCAGGGCAATGACTGAGGCTGGGCACAAGGGGACCCCTGTGGCTGGGTGAGATCCTGCTGTCGACAGGCTAGGGACAACCTGCACCCTCTTGCCTTAACTAGGAGAAGTGTCACATTTGGGAGCTAAGGGAAAGCAGAGTGGACATGTTCTGGTGAGCTCGTGCTTTTCCCCTGCACTGCTCCTCTCATTCCTGTGGGGAAAACAAGCTCTGGATTGGAGCTGAGTGCTCTCTGGTGTTGACCTGAGCCAGGAAAGCTCCCTGGTGCAGGACTCATCCTGACCAGCCTGGAGCTGGTGTGGCACATGTAGCCACACTCCAGGTGCTGAGTGTAGCCCAGCTAATCCACTCGTGGATAATGGGAAGATTATTCAGCTGGATTTCTAATACAGTGGCCTTTAATAATAATCCCTCCCTAATCCCTAAATCAATGGAAAATGGATTTATCTGTGCGAGCAGATGGCCTGTGTAGGCATTTCCAGGAGGAGAATTCTTGTGTATCTGTGTGTGAACACATCTATCTACCTGCTTGTGGTTGTTCTGGTTCCCTGCCATCCTGACCCATGTCTGTGCTTTGCTGGCAGGGACCTCATGCCCAGGACCCTGGAGGGGCAGACCCCCAGGGAGAAGACCCCCAGCTACTTTGTCACCAAGGAGGCCCCCGCCCGCATCTCCTCCATGTCCAAGGGCACGAAGCTGATCGTGGTGGTGCGGGACCCCGTGACCAGAGCCATCTCGGACTACACCCAGACGCTCTCCAAGAAGCCCGACATCCCCACCTTTGAGAGCCTGACCTTCAAAAACAGGACTACGGGCCTGATCGACACCTCGTGGAGCGCCATCCAGATCGGCATCTACGCCAAGCACCTGGAGAACTGGCTCCTCTACTTCCCCATCGGGCAGATCCTCTTTGTCAGCGGGGAGAGGCTGATCAGCGACCCCGCGGGGGAGCTGGGCAGGGTCCAGGACTTTCTGGGCCTCAAGAGGATCATCACCGACAAACACTTCTACTTCAACAAAACCAAGGGGTTCCCCTGCCTGAAGAAGGCAGAAGGCAGCAGCAAACCCCACTGCCTGGGGAAGACGAAAGGCAGGACCCACCCCGACATAGACCAGGAGGTGGTGCAGAGACTGCGGGACTTCTACCGGCCCTTCAACATGAAGTTCTACCAGATGACGGGGCAGGACTTCGGCTGGGACTGAGCCTTGCGTGGGAAAGGCCCCTGTCATTACTTGCCCAGCACGGTTTGCGTATATAAAGAGATATATATGTATGTAAAATGTACAGAAATCTATTTTATAATAATTTATTTTTAATTCCTAAGCAATTAATTCACTAAGCTGCCTAACCGCACTGGCTAGAAGGGTAGCCCGTAACCTGTTTAACATTCCACGGTCTTTAATTCTAATATGTCTCTCCTATTTTGTTGGGGTTTTTTCCCTTCTGTTTTCTCCTCTTTTTGGTTTGGTTTGTAACAGACGGTGCTTCCATTTTTCCTAAATGAAATTTGTATTAAAAAAAAAACACAAAATCAAAAAAACAAAGCGAGGGTGGCAGGGGCGGGAGGGAGGGAAAGCACAGATTTATTTTTGTTACGGGTATCTGGCCTTTATAAACTGTTGCTTTCCCTATTCCAGTGTCCCAGTCTCTACTCTGGCGTTGTCTCCCTGGTCCCACAGCTTCCCGCTCGGTCCCATGGCCCCGGGGGGTGTCTCGGGGAGGGGGGCGGGACCCAGGGTGCTCCATAAAGCGCAGGGACCCCCAAGGCACAGAGCTGCTGCTCCGCAGCCCTGCCGGGGGCAGACGTGCCCCTTCTCCAGCAGGGAAGCTGTAGAGCCTGTGCCATGGGCAGAGCTATCTCCTCGGTGTGCTTTTCCTCCTTGCCTTCAGTCAGGGAGGCTCTTTCCCATGATCCCTCTATGTACTTTCACTCTTTGCTGCAGGAGGAATGGGAAAGATGTGGACCTCTGTGTCACCCTCGGTGCTGCTCCGGATGGGAGTGGTGTCCGCCCGCCAGAGACACCGGCAGAGCCGTGGGGAGACCCTGAGTCTCTGCTGGGTGCCATCCCCAGCACGGGGGATGTCCCAGGGTGCGGCGCAGGCAGCACTACCTCCAGCCCCACAGCCACCAGCCCTGGGCCCAGCCAGGTACCCCCCTGATGTGCCAGGCGAGCACAGGGGTGACAACCAGGCAAGACGTGAAACTCCGAGCACTTAACCATCAACCCAGGTACAGTAACCTGGAGATCCCTCCACGTTCCGTGTGCTCAGGAGGTCTTGATAAGCACCATGGTGTGTCCAATGCCTTGTCATCACTGGTGGAGGCTCTGCTGGCTCCACTGGAACATTTTTGGAGCAAGGTGACAGCAGAAGTGATTTGCTCCTTCAATATTTAACAGAAGCAGGGCTAGGTCTAGGCCACAAAACCCTACAGGCCTCACATGCATGCCCTGAGAGGAGCGTGGAGCTGGCTGGAAACATCTCATGATGTTGCCCTGCGGGCACTTGCATGAAACAGGCAGTGGAAGTAAAACTGGGAACAGCCAACACGCCAACAGGCAGAGCAGATGGGGGTTGAGTTGATGCTCTGGTTTCCTACTCAGTGCCTGTATAAACGTGTGCCCTGCACCTTTCCTGGCCACCCCTAACCAAGCACACCTGAGCAGCACATTACATTGGTGGGCCATGCCCAGCTGTGCTGGGATGTTTTCAGTGGCATTTCCCAGAGGTTTCTTTTCCTCTGCAGCCTCCTTGCTCTTGCCTGCCCTTTACAGCTCTCTGCCATGGCTGCTGGGTGGTGAGAGGGCTCTTCAGAGCCTGGACTGCTGTCCTTGGGTCCTGAGCCGGTCTTGCTCAGGTGGACGCAGCAAAGAGCAGACCCACCTCTGGGTCTGTTGGAGGGATTTTCAGGAGTTTAACCGAGCTGCCTGCTGTGGGCAGAATGCAAATCCCTCCTTGGGGATTGCCTCCAAGCACATCTTCCTACAAACGAGGAAGGTTGGGCACATCCTCTCGGTTTTGCCCCGAGCCATTTCTAGGAACACAGCGACGCTTCAGACGGATGCTGCCCCACTTCCAGAGGTCACAGACAAGAGTGTGGGACCTGCTGGGTCCCCCCCACACAACCCCTGTCCTGCAAACCTCCAGTGGTGGCTGGATCCATCTGTGTTTGGGGGCTTTGGCTTCAGCTCCAGCTCTGTTCCCTGCCAACAGGCTGGTGATGAATGCACAGACTTTCTCACAAGCCCTGCTGCTGTTGGTGACTGAGGGGAAAGGGTTGCGGGGGGTAAGGTGTGGGCAGGAGAAGAAAACACTTCCTGATGGAAAAGAATGATTTTGGGTTCTCAAAAACCTCAGTCTTCCAAGCAGTCAGCTTGTGCAACATGTGGAAAGAAGCTGGTCCCCTCCCATTGGCCTCTGGGCGACCTCCTCAAGTAGTTTCACCGTCTGGGCCCTTCACACCACGTGGTGAGAGCCTCCGGGATCTCCCGCTCTGGCGAGGCTTCCTCCCCTTGCTTCCCTCCCTGTGCCTGCCTGATTTGAATGCTGGAAGATTCCACATCCTGTCCGTCTTCCTTCTTGCCTTCCAACAACCTCTTCCTACCCCACTGCCTTCCCCGGCTCTGCAGCAGAGCGTGGGCTTCGTTCAGATAATCCAACCCTGCTGCAAAACGCTCTCGTGAAGCAATCTCGGGGAGAGCAGAAATACAGAGGGTGGATAATAACTCTCCTGACCCTAAGCAAATCAGCCCTGGCTCAATATCCTTCCTCATGAAGTCTGCACTGGGCTGCTCGTGTGAAGGCCTTGCCTAACAAATACTGAAGGTGAGCTCCCCGCGGTGTGCCTCGGGTTGCTAAGAAAGGAATCCGTGCCAGTGGCGTCACTTTTGAAGGAACACCTTTTGGTTTTTGAAGTTCAGCTTGGAGATGTGATGAGAAATTATTTTTTTTTTCTCCACATTATAACATTAATTTATGGCTGAGTTTCATTCAGCCCTGTGTTCAGAAGTGCAGTGCAGGTGTTAGTGATGTGTTGTCTGTAACATGGTACTTTAGAGTAGCCGATTTGTAAGAAAAAGAACAAAACGGAAAGAAAAACAAGAAAGTCCCCACAAAAAAAAAATTTTAAAAATACTGAGGGGGGGGGAAAAAAATGTAAATTGAGTATTTTGTGGTACGTACAACACAAATTAATTTTACACGGAGAATAATGTTTCTAGGAAAATGAAGTTCTCATAATTCATACGATTTGTATGAGCAAATAAAAGCTATATTTTACCAAGCCGTGGGCACGGTTGTGTTCATTGGGGCAGCGCAGGCTGAGAGGGGTTGGGGGTGCGACCCCTTGACCCTTGCTTGTCCACCTGGGTACTGTCTGTAACTTTACCACCTCCCTGCAGTGGGGATGCTGCAGGACAAGGTCAGTCCTTCATAGCTAGTGGTGGGAAACCTTCCCAGGGCCAAGTTTCTACACTTGGAGCAGCGCCACTGCTCCAGACCTCTGGAGCCAGCGCTTCCCATTGCTTCCGACACACTCAGCACTTGGACACGTAAAAATTCATTATCTTTAAATCCAGAAGAGTCCCAGGCCGGTGCGACACACAGCAGCACCTGAAGAACAGTACAGATTTATGGAACGTGGTGAGTGCCACTTCACCAAACTGGATTCAAATAGTTCCATTTTTCTCAGCGAGTCTTTGAAAGATGGCTAGTCCGAAAGCCTCCCATCAATCACTGTGCATCGGACGCAGAGACCTCCTAGAAAAGGAGTCAAAAGTAAGCCCAAGGTTTAATATGGTGGTTTAGGGAGAGTTCAGCCTGGAAACTTCCAGCTTGTCAGGGTTGCAATTAGCTGCTCCCAAACTCTGGCAATGCTTAAACCCTATAGGTGCCTCAATTTAAATATATACACATAGATTTTACTTGAAAATTCCCATGTACCTTTTGAGCAGCACAGCTGGATGTGCTGGAAGCAGACCTCAGCTTGATGGAGTTGAGCAACTTGTTACCTCATTCTCACCTCACCTCGGCTTCACTCAGAAGCAGGTGCTCCTCTACCAGTGCCCCAGAAGATGTCAATCCTGTAGGCTCTCCAGGGCTGAGCTCAGCCTGGGTTTGCAGCAGCTCGTGGAGTGCTGTCCCTCATTCTTGTATTTCATAAGAGCCACTTGGTTCTGGGACATTCTCTTCCTTCCCAAGAGGGACTGGTGCCGGGGAGGGGAGGGAAGGGAAGGGAAGGGAAGGGAAGGGAAGGGAAGGGAAGGGAAGTCAAGTCAAGTCAAGTCAAGTCAAGTCAAGTCAAGTCAAGTCCTTATGGGGTTCAATATCTGCCCTGTCTTCTGTAGGCTATTCCCAGCTACACCTGGAGTTGAGGATTCTTTCCCCAGTTTGGGCTGGGCCCAGTTCTCAGGTGCTGGTCTGGCAAAAGGATCTAGAAGATAAGAATAAGGGTGTCTGTGTGGTTTCTTGACTTGTGAGTGCACAGAGAAGTGTTTGCTCTGAAGAAGATGGGCTGAAGGGGCTTTTATCAGCCCTGGGGACCCTGGGTAAAGGAGGAAGCTCTTGGAGAAGAAGTCTGGTTTGGTAAAGAGGTAGGTGAGGCTGATGCAGCTGTTGAAAAGTTGCTGCTAATGGTGATAATAAGGTGGGTTTATTTTTTCACTAGGTTGGTGGAAGAAGGGTGATGAGCTATTGTTTTAATCTAAAAATCAGCCAGGTCTCCAGGTTGTGCAAGTCAATGTGGCCTTTCTAATCAATGTGATTGGGCTTGGTGCTGAGATAATACCCCAGAAAAAGGTCCCATTGCAAAGATGCAGATGCCAGGGATGAGGAAGCACAAAGCAGGGAGGAATTCCCCTGAAAGGGAGAGGGCTGCTGCTGGGAGAAGCTCCATGTGGCACCTGGAGGGTGTGGAGACCTCTTTGAAGAGAGTGAGGGAAGTTTAAAACAAGGGAGGAAAGATCTGGGGTAGCCTGTAAGCACTAGG